ACACACACACACACACACACACACACACACACACACACACACACACACACACACGCGCGCGCGCGCGCGCGCGCGCGCGCGCGCACACACACACACACACACACACACACACACACACACACACACACACACACACACACACACACACACACACACACACACACACACACACACACACACACACACACACACACACACACACACACACACACACACACACACACACACACACACACACACACACACACACACACACACACACACACACACACACACACACACGCGCGCGCGCGCGCGCGCGCGCGCGCGCGCGCGCGCGCGCGCGCGCGCGCGCGCGCGCGCGCGCGCGCGCGCGCGCGCGCGCGCGCGCGCGTATATATATAGCTAGTTCATTGATTTAATTTGCAGCTTTCATATATATATATATATATATATATATATATATATATATATATATATATATATATATATATATATCTGATCATGGAAGAAAGAGTATATAGCACTATGGAAGACCAAAAAGACCAAAAAAGCTTCATACCATATAGTCACTGAAGTTGAAAATGTCTGTATTCAGTTCTGATATAGAATTTGTCTGCTATGTATTGTCATTGAAACTGATTACAATCTCAACTTTTACTTTATTAAAAAAATCCACAGTTCTAGTAATTTCTTTAGTATCGTTTTCTGACTTGAATTTTTCTTTCATCAGAACCTCATGCGACTAGGAGTGGAGAGGATAGTTTTGCCTGTTGTTCCTAATATGCTTGAAACATGGACCAAATCTTTTAAGTTCGTGAAGATGACAAGTTTTGAGAGATCACAGTTTTTGGATTACGCTTTCCTAGATTTTCCAGGAACTGTCGTGTGTTAGAAGCTGTTGACAGCTCTTCCATCCCAGATTTGACTTTAACAAGAGCTTTGTAAGTTTGTTTAATAAAGTTGACCAACAAGAAGAGATTCACAAGAGTGGAATGATGGATATGCAAGTGGAGGAGTACATCTAAGTTCTAACTATACAATAAAATAAATCTGATATTGTATGGAAGACAGACTGTAATTAATGACAATCTGAACAATTCTTTTAGATGTTAAAGTAAAATTTGTTTTCATGGTAATTGATGTTCTTGCAATCTCTTCAGGGGCATATAACACATGATAATAATAACTTCTCCAACATGGCTTGTCCCGAATTCTTGTATATTTAAATCAGTGACTACTTGAATCAATTCAAACCAAAAATAATAGTGCCAATCAACTAAAATGTATGACAAAAAAATATATTAAACAAGATTCTGAATGCAAGGAATTAATAAGGAAACTCATATTACCCATTCACTTCATGCATTCCCACAAAGGGAAGGCATCTATTAGTCTACAATTGAAAATTTTGTTCATATAGAGGCCTATCACGTTGCATTTAAAAACACAACTACACAAGTCTGTTATGTCTTCTCTGACTCAAAGCTATGAGTTCTTTATCTTCATTTTGTTTTGTGGCTCACCATGGCTAGCTTTGGCAAGTTGGGTGCTATGCAACAAATGATCAAAGATAGAATCATGCCTGCAAGTGCAGTGTCTGATGACAACATTTTGGTGAAGAAAATAGTGTCAGAGCATAATCCTCATGGACTAGAATATGAGATGTCAAGCCACTTCTCCATATTGTTGATGATATTCGTAGACGTTCTGTCTTGAGTTCTGAAGGTGCTTCAATGGTATGAAGCTAGTTAGTTAGCATAAAAAAGTTTATTTTGAATTTGCTAAGCAAATATTCAAGCCAAACATGAGCAATTTTAGTTTGGTTTTAATTTAGATGTGGATTTGGGTGATATTCTCCTGTATCCTAATTATAACTTGTACTTTCTTTCAGGGTGCCCTTGCATATGTTGATATTCTCCTATATCCTAATTATAACTGAAGGTGCTTCATGCCTTAGCTGCTTTTGCTATGACCTACGATGAATTCTGGCTGCTTGCCCATATTCATGACACAAACCAACTTGCCAAATCAATGGCAATTCTGAAGCAATTACCTAATATCATGGAGCATGCTGGCTCATTGAAACCACGTTTTGATGCACTTAATGATCTAGTTAATGTCATATTGTGGCTTGTGCAGCTCAGATTACCAGCCTGACTACACTTGGCGGCTATGAGTATGTTTTTCCAATCAATTCTCTACTGCTACAAAGTGATACTTAAAGGCATCAAGGAACTGCTGTTCAAGCTTACAGTTAGCCCCTCAACAATTTGACTGTTGTTGAAGCTTACAGTTTCAAAACAAAAATCTATGGGATATGTGTTGTGGACTGTAACTAATGTGGACTCAGTGAATCTGAATGATGAAAATTGTTTCTCGTGTTAGGCCAAAATTCAGATGTCATGTTGCAAGCTTAGGTGAAAACAAGGTTATGAATGTATTTGAACTCTTTTTCCCCCTTGTTATTTATAATGTTATGGAAAATGAGGTCCCCTCGGTTGTATGATGTATTTTTTGCACCTTGTCCACACTCCCAGCTGTATTTCCTGGATTGGGATATTGATTTTATCCTCATATTTTTTGTATAGCATCCATTTTCGACAACTTGACCCAGAAATGATTCTCTTCATTAATAAGGTTGTATAATTGTGAGTCTGGGACCATTGTTTATTATCTTAACTAACAAACATGTTTAGAAATCATAAGAGAAGAAGGTTCAGCACAATGGCCATTTTATTTATTCAACAATGATAGTTTACAGAGATATACTCTACAATAAATTTGTCTGTCACTCAAAAAATTGCACCTTAAGCTAAGCTTATTATGCTAGCCATTTATTGGTAATAAATTGGTCCGTTTTCAATAAGGGGATCGGCCTATACAGTGTATCAATTATCTAGGACTTAAGATGAAGGGAATAAAAAAAGTGATAGAAAGTTACATCGTTACAAATTTTATTCAGTACCTGCAGATAATTAAAAGTAAAGAAGAATGGAATAAAACGGAGGCGTATTATTCAACCAAAATTCAAGTTCACGAGTTTATCAGGGGCCTCTCATTAGTCCCACCAAAAGGGGCAACCGAAATGACCAAAGTTTTAAACATAAAATGCACCACTCTTGCTCACACAAAATGTTCTAATCATAACAAGAAAATTAAAAAGTCTAAAAGAAATTTTAAAATCTGCAAAATAACATCATAAAGTCCCAAAAGAAGCCTCCAATCCATTGGCATGGGAAAGCTAAATGACCATTGCTTTTGCTACCATCAGAGGACAATCAATTCAATTTGAGGAGGCACATATTGTTTCAGACCATCCGTATACCATTTAGCAGTGCCACGACGCCGTTCTCTAATCCAAGGCCTAAACATCAGGTGAACTATCCACATAATATGAAGAGAGAGGATCCACAACAATCTTGTTGAGATTAGGAGCATTCTCAACTATGCTGATCAGCAGCAACTCAATTTGACTTGTGTCTGTCTCTTCTATATCCTCTGATACTCCTAACTCTTTCAGCTTCGGGAACTCGCATTTCAGATTAGCTTCCCACTCCTCCTCAGGCTTCACATTACACCTAAAGAACTGCCATATCACACCTACACACAGCTGAAACTGATTGATATTAACATAATTCCTACTGTACTGATATCAGCATATACATGCAGCATCATCAAAAATATGAAAGTGTTTCACATATGAAAGAGCAATATACCACGATTCTTTCAACATACAACTTCTGATTAAATGTTACCTGAATTTCACAAACAAACAGCAATGATAAATGACCCTGTGTCATCAAACCTATAAGAATAATTCATTATGCAAATAAGCTATTCGCAGAATACATCACCAGGGTTCAGTGGATAAAAAGAACACCCAGATGACACATTGAGTGACATTCATAGCATATCCAATCATCCGTTACTTCTGATACACTACATAAGTATAGGTATCTAAATCTACAATTTCTTTAGTTAATTGACATTATTGTCCAAGGTAACCTCAATCTATTATTACAACCATGCCTTCTTTCTTAAACGTCTAGCACGCCATGTTTAATCTCAACAAACCCTTTTCTAAAGTGTGCCATGCTTTTTATTTTTTAATAGTAAATTGCAAAAGACTCGGTGTATCATATTGAGTTACAATGTCAACAATGTTAAAAGTATCCTAAACGATCCAAGCCATTCCATCCTACAAAATCTATCCACTTCAACCCCTAGTTACTCCCTCATGGGTAAAATAATCTCCATGATTTAGAGCTATCTAAGCAAGCATGTTTGATTAACACAATCCAATCAACAATATCACATATAATGCACCAGAAGACACTATATAACAAAATGCACAAACTGATCAACATATTCGACCCAATTGAACCGCAACAAGTACTACAATAACAAATAAACAAGCAAACCAGTTCAGTAATCCCCATAAATCCCAACCCACATAAATACCCCCCCCCCCAAATAGTTATCCCCACAAATCCCAATGTAAGCATATTTTCCTCACATAACTCAACTCATGCATATTACTATTCCCTAATAGACCCACCATGCATGATGCCAATACCCCCCATTTGCAAAATTCCCAAGTTCAGCCAATTCAAGTATTCTAATTCCAATTTTCAAAACCGACAGCTGTATAATAACAAGCAAAAACACAGACTCAACTCCATTCACTGTAACTCACAAAAAATCGTATCATTACAAAAAGCATACCAAACGACCAATGCTAAAAACACAGAACTTTGCCCGAATTGAGAATGTCGTGCTATCAGAAAAAAGAATCAAACATAACCGAATTGAAATTGCGAGCAATAATATGAGCAAAACCGAAAACATAATGATCAGAGAGATCAGAGACAAAGCAAAATGATGAAAAAGTAAACAACAATGATTTAATATTCAAGTCTCCTTAATAATTATCAGTATGATATTTAATTACATTGTATAAATAAATTAAAGAATTAAGGCTGTACATGTGTTAAATAACTTTGAGAAATTGTTAGGTAAAATGTAAATGTAACTAAAGTAATAACTCTATTATTACCAAAATTGTCTTATAAAATGCAAATCCAACCACTCTATTATTACAAAAAGAATGAGAAAAGAATCACTCCATTGCGAGTGCAATTAAATACTCCAATCAGACGCTCTAGACTTAACAAAATTTTCCATCTGCATATTGTAACTATTCACAGCAACTGATAGTATCAGCCACCAGAAAAGCTTGAAGGTCTTTGACAGCTTGATCAACGGCATATACTATCATCTTCTTTATCTATTTCATCAAAGATAAAACTCCATCAGCAAACATAAAAAAGGAAAATATTATATTCTATCCTATAACTTATGAGGCTGATATTAATAAAGGGAGAAGCAGAAGGAATTATATTTTAAAAGCAAATCACCTCAAGTTTATCTTCTCTAGCCTTGTGGTTCTTGGGAAGCTGACGGAACTCATTAGTTAAACGCAGACACTCATGAACATTTTCTGGGGACACGAAGTCTACAGCAACTTTTATGCATGACTGTGCAAGGTTTAACGTATGTTGATTAGAGCTAAAGATATAACCAAATGATTTGATAGTAAAGTAATGTAAAGAGATGTTTTACCTTGAGGTTCCTCACTTGATGTGGGCATCCAGCAGGAATAAATACAGCCTCCCCAAGTTTCTGCTCAAAAGTCCAGGGTTCTACACCTAAAAGTCAAGATTCGCATAAATGGCTAATTCTAGACACCCAACAAGAAATGATATGCAATTCTATGTACTAACCAAACTCCTCCTTCAGCTTCTTCTTGTGCTCCAAAGTCAAATAAAAACATTGGTCATGAATTGGATGAACAACCTAACCAAAAAAGAATTTGGTTTGAGCATCTACGCATAAAAAATAAGGATAAGCAAAAATGTAAATCATCATCATACCTGTTCAACCGGAGAACAATAAGTATGTCTAAATTCTTTTGAGTGTTTTCTTAAATATGTTTCTAACTTTTCAATATCATCTCTCCTAAAGATATCCCATAGGGCACCACCTGTTTCCGTTGGTTCATTTTCTGGAGAAATAGCAGCAAAAATGACCCCCTCAGACACATCATTTTGAAATATCTTCCCATTAATTTCAAAAGGGCGCTTCTCCATATCTTTAGGTTCTAAGACTTCCTTATCTTTTATATGTTCTTTGTTGTTATTGCAAGGTCCACCATTCAGGCATTCAGCAATCCTCTCCTGTGCACAATGTTCTTTCTCATCTTGTGCCTTGTGTGCTTCTTTCAACTTTGAAATAATAGAGAGCTGCTCATCACTTAATATCACCTCGGCCGTATGGGTCAAAATATTCACCTAAGACAATTATTATATGATAAATTAGAATAAAAAGTCAATATGATTCCATTTAAAATTTGACAAAGGATGAAGTTTCCAAACAAAGAACCAAGTATACACCTCAAAATCACATGCATGCAAAAAAAGAATATTTGCACAAACTGAAATTCTCCTCCACGTCAAATTACAGTTAACACTAAGTTCATCTATTCTTTAGGAACCAAATTTTTATTTCCGCCATCTTACAATAGTTATACATATTAAGAAACTACAACATCCAACCATATAAAAAGTGTGATCTGAAAGAGAAAGAAGACTGAATAGATATATAGCGAGCATATTCAACGAAGGAGAATAGGCCGAGTACTACTTCAGCAACCAAATTAACACCTAATGAAGCTTGAAGCATACCGCATCTGACATATCACAGTGAAGTTTTGTTACAGAGTCTCCTCTACCAAGTTCTTCTTTAATCCCATAAGCAATGTATGTTTTTGGACCCATGTCAGGTTTTAGGACATGGGCTGGCAACTTTACAGCAAGATTGACAATTCCAGCCCCAGGATCAGTGTACTCTTGAAATGGCAAGGAACGAATAAACTCATCACAATGGCGAGGCAAAAGATTTTCAAATTTATCAGAGGGGGGCCAGTCTTTTAGCTTGAGCATCTCTGGCCAGAGATTTTGATATGTTCTTCCCTCAGTATAACCTTTAAAAAACTTATGAGTATTAATTTCTACCTGCAAAGGTTTAAAAGGGTAAATGTTGGTCAGAATTCTAGCATACTGCAGGAAATACAAACTCAAAATATTACACAAGATTTAAGAAGATGAAATACTAAGATGGCAGTTGAAGCTCCACGGTATGTGGAATCTAAAGTATAAGAATAAAGACATGATGGAGGGCATTGCACATGGTAACATTGAAGTATCATAGTCAATATGACGTGCCTAATACATACCCAACTCAAATGTAGTTATCTTTTTTATAAATGATAAGTGGGGGAAATATAGGTATTAAAAGTATTCTTGGGGTACCTGGAAAAAATTCCCAGACAAAACACAACAGAGGAGGGATTTGAAAAGAGGGAAAACTATAAATTTGGACATAATGTTCTAATTTGACCATATGTTCAAACCGAGAACCAAAAGGAACTGTAAGACCAAACCTCACAATTAGCCAGGCAATCAATGGCCTTAACTTCTGACATTCTTGAGCTGATTTCTGAAACTCTATTTTCACATAATACTCGCCGCATGACCATTGGCTCCCAGCTCAGACCTGTCCCCTGTTTAAGAATATTCTTAACTATAATTGGTTCACCATTAGTCCAATGCCTTTGAAAGAGTAATAATTCTTCTTTTAAAATGTCTCTTGACTCTGGACAGTATATGTTATTGTCGTTTGTGCCTTCTCCAAGTGCCACCCTTCTCATTTGTTCAATTTCCCAAATCTTCAACACATCACGAGCTTTTGCTTCCAAGTCAGATATCCACCCACGTTGAAGGATGCGCCTTAGCTCCAATTCAGAACTACCACAACCTCCTCCCTCCTTTGGAGCACAACTAACACTTCCATGACTTTTGGCATTCCACTTAGTAGATAGCTCAATATGTCCCTTTGAAGTCTCTACATCACAAGACACTGGTAGAGGGTCACCACCATGCATATAGTCATAACCCCTATTCAAGTATTGGAACTTCAGCTCATCCCGGGAAGTAATGCTTCCCTTGCGTATTTCTTGGCAACAAGTGAGACAGAGTTCATAAGAACACTCGGGGCACCTTCGGTGAAGGTCAACAATTGAAGTAGCACAATGGTCACTGCTCCAAGACCAAAAAATTAAAATAAAGATCTTAAACAACATGGGAAGAATCATGTTAGTTTCTTAAGAAAACGGACACTTACCAATAGACACGTTCATTGTCACCACAAAGACTTTGGTGTATCTCAATCTCACAAGAAGATTTTCCTGACAGAAGAGTTTATTGTTGGTGATTTCTTCAATGTAATAACAAAAAACCTAAAGGTGAAGATTAATACCTTGTATTTTAGCTTCAATATCCTCCTCTTGACATTGTTCATGACAAATTTGTTCAAGAAATGGAAGGAGTAAGTTAATCATATATTGCATATATTGAGCTTTCTCATAATCAGTGATGTCCCTGTTGGATGTCTGTAAGTAAATATAAAAAAATTTGAAAAAGAGTTAGCAATATATGAAATTTTTGTTTCATTAAAAAAATTAATTTAAGGTGGACACCGCTGTAAGTTAAACCTTAATCATTCCTCTTGAACGCAAGCAAACATTGCAATTGCAGTTTTTACGGCAACATGGGCAGCTTTCAGCAATTTCTTCTATTGACATATTAGAGTACCTGTGTGCCAAAATTAGAAATAGCTCTATTTTGAAAGGGCATTCCATGAATTACATAAACAAATACATAAATCTTTTGCAGTATTGATTAATTAGATGTTATGTAAACTTTCATACCATAGATTGATGCATCGCATACAGTACATTTTCAGACATTTAGTACAAGGCACAAAAGCTGTTCTCTCCTTTTTCATGCACTGATGACATTTCCGGGGATTTTGCTCGACATCCTGTTAACATAATTAGTTAAGCACAATAAAGTATATATAATATTCAAGCTATTGAAATTTTTTTCATAAGATCAAGCTTTTAACTATGGAAATGAAAAAAATATGCATTGAGAAAGATAGTCACCATCATGTCATCCATTCTTTTAGCTCTGCTCCTGGTCTTTGTCTTTAAAGGAAAAAACATTTCTTCATCTTCTTCCAATTTGTTAATTAAGAAATCATCTTCAAATTTCCTTTTCTTGTTTGAGACAGTAAGCTTCTTTGGCTCATCTCCTTTATTGGATGAAAATTTAGTGGTCCTTTTTGAACTTACCAGATTGTCTTCTTTCGGTTCTGACTTTGGTTTCGTGATATCAAGTTTATGAATCTCCTGAACCTTTCCCTTCTTTGACATTCTAAGAGGCCTAGAGCATTTAGAGAGTTTGTCCGGCTTATTATTGTTAGGTTGATTTGACTGTTCTCGTCTTGCAGCTGTAACCTCCATTCTTACAGCGGTACTGTTCTTTAATCGTCCCATATTTACTTGTTCCCCTTCAGGTTTTGGTTTCTTATTACCATGCTCATGAATTTCTTCAGCCTTTCTCTTTGAAGTTCCATATGTTTTTGAGCATCTTGAGAACTCCAGCTTATCCTCATTATGTTGATTTGACTGGTCTTGTCTTGGAACTACAACCTCCATTCTTACTGAGGTACTGTTCTTTAAACTTCCCATATTTACTTTTTCCCCTTCAGGTTTTGGTTTCTTATTACCATGCTCATGAATTTCTTCAGCCTTTCTCTTTGAAGTTCCAAATTTTTTTGAGCATCTTGAGAACTCCAGCTTATCCTCATTATGTTGATTTGACTGGTCTTGTCTTGGAACTAGCTTATCCTCATTATGTTGATTTGACTGGTCTTGTCTTGGGACTACAACCTCCATTCTTACTGCAGAATGACATGGAAATACACTCAAATAGTTACAACAACAACAAAACTATCACCATTATCCGAAACTAATTGGATTAGGCATCTTTAAATAATTGCAAACATCCAAAAATCACAACATAGATTATCACTCATTTAAGCATTGACATGCCAATCTTTTATAATAGCTGGAGTCTAAGCAACAAATACTCTCAGTATATAATATCAATCCTAAACCTATACATATTGCCATCAAGAGTTTACTACCACATTTATCAAGGATTCAAAGATGACATCGTGCTTTCTATTACCACACAGAAAGGGGGATGACAATGGCAAACAGAACTATAGTTTGTGAAGACAAGTGCCGTGGTGGATGACAAGTATGGTGATTGGTGAAGTATTCTCCATGAGGGAGTGGGGTTGTGAATGAGTTTCTATAGTTTGTGTTCTTAGTTGTGTCAGATCCTTTGCATATGTGCGTGAGGTTATCCTATATAGGTGGTTATGTGTGTGGTAAGACAGACGGCCATAGATTAGGCCATATCATGGTTGGTTGGTGATTGAGTACGGATTCTGGGAATTGGATGTTGGGCATTAAATCAAGAGTAAAGTACTTTTGCTCCTAGACAAAAGTTATGGGGCATTTTAATCCCTTAAAAAGAAAAAGACAATTTGTGATTCTTCTAAATTTTAAAGAAGACCCATGTTAGTCTTTCAAAAAGATTAACATGGGTCTATTTTTAATTTTATGGGAATCACAAGTCGGTTTTTTTTTTAAAAGGATTAAATTATGCTCCTTAAGTACCAAAAGTTACTTTACTCTTAAATTAATAAACGAGGCATGCGCTTTAGTGGAGGCCAAGGACACATCCGTGACACATCTTATAATATACAATACCATATGAAACTACTTATTTAGGCTGCTTTTATGACAATTTTCATCGACCATGTAACTTTAAACATAGTTATAAGACTCACTCAATAATGGACCGAATTCCTAGTCCAGCATATCATAGTTGTATACTACGTAGCATTTTGTTTTAAGGTACTGAATGATAACATAATTGAACAGAGTATTTTTGTTTTAAAAACAGGGACATTTTTGTAATTATCACTTATTTTCCCATCTATATTTTACCTCAAACAAAACATAGACTTTGTAAATCTTACCTAATTTGCCCGGTTAAATTTTTTCTAACCAAACAATTTTTTTTACATTTTCCTACCAAATTCACTTTACAACCATTTCCCTATCAATTACATTTCCCTAGTATTCAAAAAATTTCTCCTCAACCAAACGCCCCCTAAGTACAAAACGAGTTAACTCGATCCCGCTTATTTTTGTAGTGAGCCAAAAAAATAACCAACTCGTCTCCATCTATATGAGTTGATAGGATATACCGGTTGGTCCACCTCCTAGATGTAGAATTTCTTTATAATATCCTCTCGAAAATAGAGGCAAAACAAGGAAACACCTAATTTTCCTTTTAATTTTTTAAATTAAAAAATGGATTAACTACAGTAGAATTTACATAACTTGTGAATCATCAAACATGTGAGCTAAATAATAACAATTCAAGATCTAAATAAATTAATTTTGTAATAATCTTTTAATGAATTGGACCCAATTAACTCACGAGCATAATCTATTTTGACAACTCTTAAGTGTCGGACTTAGTGTGAAAATTTGGTCTTGGGGACAAACAGTAAACTAGGAACCAGAGCATAATTTCATCTTGTTACAACTTAGTTCGAAGTTATCATTTTAGGTAAATTATAAAAATCTTTGACAACCCCTTGCCCACTTCTAATTGTTTTTTCTCTTTGCATACATTGTAGATGGAGGAAAACATGTGTCACCTGACCAGATTCAGCGAACTTAAATAAGATATGAGCACCGGTATACATACGTGGTTAAAGACACTAGAGAAAATAGTGAATACCGAATAGAAACGTATTTTAACGCTTGCTTACTCCAATATGAAAAGTGGGAACACTTTGTACCGAAAAAAAAAAAGTGTGAACCTTGATAATTATTTAAAAACAAAGTGATTTGACTGGGTTTTCCCTAACTTTGATAATTATTAAAAAAAGAAACAAAGTATATGCTATCTTGTTAAGATGAACCACGTGATTTGATGGTGATTTTCACCGTTTCTCCTAGACATTTTTCTATTTCGCAAACTAGAGAACAGGAGAACACAAACTAACAGAACCAAAAACCAATCTCATAGGCCACATAATTTCCAAGATGAAATCCAAAATTCAACCAAACAAACAATCTGGAAATCAGAGAGTCATAAACAAGGAAATTAATTGTACCATCAGAATTGCAATAAAAACAGAGAGAAACAGTTCGATCGTCTATGATGATGCATATAATTATAATCAAAACATATTTAGAAACATAACATGGAATCGACCAGATAAACGTGCCTTTGGAAGAATCCATTGATGTCCGGTGCCGGTTGAGCTACGATCTCTCTTACGCAGAAAAGAGCAATAGAAAGTAGAGAGAGAGAGAGAGAGTTGCAGATGAAGGAAGAAGAAGAAGGTAAGGAAGGTGTTTGGGTTGGTCCTTAGAAGGAGACAACGATACAAAGCGGTTGTACGCATAAATAAGAAAAAATTCTCAATCTTACCGGTTACCGATACGATTCGTATTTACTCCCTTCATTAATTCTTACTAAATACTGACACCAACTTTTTCATTTTATTTATATATCTTTGATTTTTACTAGATTTATATATCTTTGAATTTTGTTTATCTTTTTTTTTTCTATTTTTTTCTTTTACACAATGACGAAAGGCCAAGACGTTTTTAAAATTTTATTGTTTTTTTTTTGGGAGAAAAAATATTATTGTTATTTCTTTTACAGTTTACTATTGCCCTTTTTTCTATGTTTTAATCGATTAAATCTTCAACTTAATCGATTAAATCTCTCTCTTAATTGATTTAATCGATTAAATATCCCAAATAAACGTGAAAGCATTGATTGAATGAGATAAACACGGTATTGGAGGTTATTTGAATTTAATGTAATAGGAGTTAATTGCGATTTGTATTTAATAGGAGCTGATTGCCTCCTGTTAAATACAAAACGCAATCAGCTCCTATTAAATACAAAATTCAAATGGAAAACTGATTGAATTTTGAATTTGAATTTGAATATAATGTAATAAGAGCTGATTGCGTTTTGTATTTAATAGGGCGCAATTCAAATGGAAAACTGATCTGATTGCGTTTTGAATTTAATAGGAGCTGGAGCTGATTGCGTTTTGTATTTAATAGGACGCAATCAAATAACCTCCAATACCGTGTTTGTCTCATTCAATCAATGCTTTCACGCTCATTCGGAATATTTAATCGATTAAATTTGTTTTAATCGATTAAATCAATTAAGAGGGAGATTTAATCGATTAAGTTGAAGATTGGATTAATTATTTGATAGGTCAAAATATACTTAAGAATATTGGATTAATTTTTTTGATACTATTCTTGGTTATTTTTTTTAAAAGAAAAATTAATTCATATTTTTCGATCGTCTGGGATTCCTAAAATACCACCCTCTGGATAGTATTTTACAGCTCGTTTGGTGGATAAGATAAGGGTAGGATATGATATGCTGATAAGGATATGATATGATATGGGACTGATAAGCCTATATCATGTCATGTGTTTGATGAGCACCTGATTAGCAATATGATAAGATTATGTAGAAGGAGAAAGGAGAAATAAAAAATAAAATATAAAACAATAAATACAAATACATTAGGTAGCGTGGGGATATATTGGGTATCTAATATTGGTATCATATCCTGTTGAATTCTAACCCAGCTCCCCCATAGGATAAGAAATCATGTATTGGATAGAATAAAATGAGACAAGAGGATAAGCTAATCATATCATATTGACTAGGGGTGTTAACGGGCTGAGCCGAGCCGAGCCGAGCTTTGGTCTCAAAAGGCTAAGCCTGTATTTAAATGTGTCGGCCTTACCAAGCCTGTTACCTGTTACGAATATAATTATCGGCCTGTGGCCTGCCTTATTTACAAAAAATAAAAGCCTGATTTAGTCTGTTAGCCTGTTTAAAAGAAATAAGACAACAAAAAATTATCCAAACAGAATATACAATCAACAACACTAGTAACTCCATAAATATTCATAAATTTAATGTATATCCAAACAGCATAATATAGAAAAAAATCATTCAAAAAGTCTATTTAACTAATAAATATGGGTGAAATGGATTGAGGAGAGAGAGGACTATTACAAATAGTATAAAAATATAAATAAAAATAAAAATTAATATACTAGGCCAGCCTGAGAGGCTTCAAGGCAGAGCTTTTGAATTTGAGCCTGATGCCTTTTTATTAAACGAGCTTTTATACGAGTTCAAGCCTGGTTCCAACAACCAATATTAGGTTTGTAAGCTCAGGTCTTCATGAGTATTAAATACGGATGACATAGAATCGAAAGTGATAGACAATAACGGAGCTTGCAAACATGGCGAGGCGAACGTTGTTCCAGAGTTCACACTAAGCCCACTATTAGCCCCGCTCTTGTTCTCTCCCACATGTACCAAAGACCCGACATGAACATGAACATAAACAAGGGAGATCTAAATTTTTATATGGTTTTTACAAGTTTATCAGTTGCAATGGGAAGCCAACAACAGGGACAATTTTTTTTATGGTTTTTGCTCCATTTTCAGACATTGTTTTTTGCTCCATTTCCTCCATCTGGTTGTTTTTTGCTGAAAAACCAAAAAGAAAAAAGAAAGCATCAATAATGGATTCTTCGTCCGGATTTGTTTTTTTGTTGAATGTTGATTCTGTTTTGTGGATCGATTTTGTTTTCTGGATCTATAGAATTTTGTTGGTGGAATGAAAATGATGATCAATAGTAAATTTAAAAGGCAAGGATAGTTTTGTAAAATAACCCAACATTTCCAATAATATCTCTCGATTAACCAAACACAGACTTATTAAACTTAACCAAATAATTCCGGTAATATTTTTGCATACCAAACAACTTTCTAATAACATTTTCGGGTAATCCATTTTCTCATCATATTCTTGGAAATCATAATTCTCAGACACCAAAGAATTTCTCTTCTACCAAATGCCCTTGAATGTCATAGCTCTAGGTTCGGATTCTTTCTCGATAATTTAAACCTTTTGGGTAAACCATTCCTTTTATTAGCAATTTGCTCCCTGAATATTAGAGAATATTGAGGGAAGAACTACAATGACAGAGTTAAAAATTGATAATCAAATTAATAAAAAATTGAAAAAAAAAATAGTATATATTTTAATTGGATTGAATTAATTTTTTATTTAATTGGTGAAAATCAATTCATTTCCATTATTTTAACACGTGAGTAATCATTGATTAATTATTTGTGAATGATCAATTAATAAAAACTTAAAAGTCACTAATATTATTACATTAAAAAAAAACACACACACAAACTAAGAACACACATCTCTCAAATCTCAATGCAAATACAATTGTCCATCCACATCCACAGTTGACAAGTACCGTACTCAGCGTAATGACATTTTCACATCTCTCTCAAATAACAAACACAATGTTGTCACCATTGCATGCTATTACCAAAAATGATCTCGTGCTCATATTTGTCATTGCTTGGTCCTAGAGAACTGAAGTTCTATTCTATATGATATTATATGGTATGGATATCTTAAAGATGGATATTCTTATTGGCTTATAGCCAATATTCTAATTATTGTGCACAAACAATAGGCTTATAGTCAAGATTTGGGTGTAGACACAGTGTTAGCAGTAATAATAAATAGGTCAAAAGTGTGTACCTGAAATTTTTAGCTTTTATTTATAAAGGTACCTCTTGGATTTGGGCTGTATAGATCTCAGTTAATATAAGATCTAACCTCTTATTTATAGGAACAAGAATTTTATCTCCTTATCTTTATCCTTTCATCCTGTTAAGATATATTCCGTAACAGTCGTATTTGCGATTTTTTGGAAGAGCTAGATGTGGAACTTTGTGTTACAAGGGAAACAAACTAGGAAAATATTATATTTATAAAAATAAATGTTATATTTACAAACTTTTTATTTACAAACTACACTATTCTGACCGGTCATATTTCAACCAAAAATGTATGATTGGTCATACTCAGTAAAAGTTTGTAAACGGATCTTTCTTCATTTATAAAATTTTTATTTATAAACTCTTAATAAAAAAAATTTGGTAGATTAAACTCTTATAAATTTATTTATGTATTTTGGGGAATTTGTATTCTTCAAAATACAAATATTTGTTTGTTTGGGATTTATAATTATTGTTATTATTATTTTATTATTATTTCTGATTCAGAGGACAATCAATTCAATTTGAGGAGGCACATATTGTTTCAGACCATCCGTATACCATTTAGCAGTGCCACGACGCCGTTCTCTAATCCAAGGCCTAAACATCAGGTGAACAACTATCCACATAATATGAAGAGAGATGATCCACAACAAACAACAATCTTGTTGAGATTAGGAGCATTCTCAACTATGCTGATCAGCAGCAACTCAATTTGACTTGTGTCTGTCTCTTCTATATCCTCTGATACTCCTAACTCTTTTAGCTTCGGGAACTCACATTTCAGATTAGCTTCCCACTCCTCCTCAGGCTTCACTTTACACCTAAAGAACTGCCATATCACACCTACACACACAGCTGAAACTGATTGATATTAACATAATTCCTACTGTACTGATATCAGCATATACATGCAGCATCATCAAAAATATGAAAGTGTTTCACATATGAAAGAGCAATATACCACGATTCTTTCAACATACAACTTCTGATTAAATGCCCGCAAAAATAACATCCTTCACTATATAAGTATGAAAGGAAAAATTAAAAATAAAAGGAATTCGAAAGCATCCTTCATTGCCCTTTCTATCAAAACCCCCCCTTCCCCAAAATTATAATTATAAAAGGTTAAAAATATATTAGACTAGTTTAGGGGTGTCTTTTCCTCACAAGAAAGACAAACTTATTTCATTTTCAGATACTGATCGATAACTAAGTAAAAGATAGAAATTTATGCACACATAAAAGTTAAAAAGGAACCTTAATTAGTGCAGCATCATCCCCTCTTCTGCAGTTCCTCCAATCTCTCCTATAAGAATGTTACCTGAATTGCACAGACAAACAGCAATGATAAATGACCCTGTGTCATCAAACCTATAAGAATAATTCATTATGCAAATAAGCTATTCGCAGAATACATCACCAGGGTTCAGTGGATAAAAAGAACACCCAGATGACACATTGAGTGACATTCATAGCATATCCAATCATCCATTAGTTCTGATACACTACATAAGTATAGGTATCTAAATCTACAATTTCTTTAGTTATTTGACATTATTGTCCAAGGTAACCTCAATCTGTTATTACAACCATGCCTTCTTTCTTAAACGTCTAGCACGCCATGTTTAATCTCAACAAACCCTTTTCTAAAGTGCGCCATGCTTTTTTTTTAATAGTAAATTGCAAAAGACTCGGTGTATCATATTGAGTTAC